GTACGGAGCTGCTCAAGTAGGGCCAGCAACACACGCCGACGACGACCACGGCGCGGTGCTCGTGGACGACGTCATCGCCGAGCACCTGGAGAAGGAGCGCAACGCATGCCTTTCGTCGCAGCCGCGGAGGCGGAGAGTGGCATCTGGAGTGGCATACTGTTTGCTCTGCCCGTGCAAATAATTCAACGGCAATTATTAACAGCGCGACATGCGCGCCCACATCAACAAACAACACAGCAAGACGCTTCGTCGGAATATCGGCAATGCACAAGAGGGTTGGTTTTTCGCTGGCCAGGTGAAGCGGCAATTGCAAATCATACGGGCGCTCTAATGAAAACGATCAAGTTTCCCGTGCCCCGCCTGGAACATACTTGCAGCGGAGCGCCCACGTGTTGTGGGGCGCTCGCCAAAGCCAAACAGAATTGCAGCGTGGCATGGGGCACCATCAGGTGGGCAACATGTTCAAACTGTGCACCTCTCGTGGAATCGATTTCATACATCGACAACTCATCCTCCTTGAAGGCGCTCGCAGGATTGGGTGCGCGTACATTGGGAAGGACGCAACGGATATATTTGTCAGAGAGCTCATTGTCAACCATGGGGGGATTCGGCCGACGCGCCGCCGTCTCCTACTCACCTTCAAAGCCGCCCGAAACCAGTTGTGGAGCCTGGTGCCCGATAGCTCGACATGGTGGTCCTGTTTGGTTCAGGACGTTCTCACGTCCGCGTGGTGGCAGGATGCGCGCGCGGAGCTGTTGAGGGAGTGCATCAACAATTCCGAGTTTCAACATTTGACCATGGACGCTACAATGAGAATCCTTCGCCGAGTGATTGGCCAGGCCGACTACCGCGCGTCCAAGGATCAAAAGGCCGCCCAAGTCGTGCCCGAGGCTGAGGCCAGAAGACGGCTACTGTCCATCAGGGGAATCACTGGGGCCGTGGCGTGCCTGGTTCCTGTGCGCGACGAGTCTAGCGAACACCTCCGCCTGATTGTGCGCGAGCACCTCACGGTGAATATCAGGAGCCAGGTGCGTTCTCTTGCTTGCTTGGGATGATACCTCAGGGGCCCTGTATAATCACATGAAGACCGTGTCTCCACATTTGGAGTATTTGTGTTTGGATACTGTCCACTTGGTGATCCATTACAACCAAGCGCAATGGGGCCAGACGCGCCCGGGCGAAACATATCTGCGCAAGATCATGCGCAAGTTCGTCCAGGTGGATTCAACCAAGGAAGCTAGCTTCTGGGGCCCAGCGTTTTGCAACAACGAAGCGAGGGACCATGGAACGCAAGAGAAGCGATACAGGACCTTGGTGGCGTCAGGAAGGATGGGACAGACAGAAGCGCAACGTGTACTTGATGCATTCGATGATACTGTGCCGTTCTGTTGTAGCCTGGATGTCATCAAGGCGATGGCCTCCCTCACTGCTTTGCATTGGGCCAAAGTGAACATAACCACACAAGTGCAGGGGGCCAAGCTGTATACCATCTTGTGGCGAGCGGTAGCCCCCCACAAGTTGGAGTGGTACTTCAACAACGCCAGAATGATGCACTCGCTCCCTGCCAACATGGTCAAGCTTGTGGCGAGTGGCTCCACGAGCAATGGCTCTCTGACTCACGAGATCAATGTGATCTCTAAGAACCAACCTATTCCGCGGCCCTTGGACTCAGTCGCCGCTCAGATGCAAGTTTTCTAGCAAGGCAAGCTTCTATCGCATAATGCTGCGTTGTACTCCCCGACCACCTCAGTCGTTTCGTCTGTCGACGTTTTAGCGCTGCGCGCAGCGAGCCTGAAGATTAGCTTGCCCGCGTGGGCGGCATGGTGTGCAAAAAAAACGACGCCATTCCTTCACACAAGGTCCGAACATCCTTTTCCTTTGTGCGCTGCCGCCTGGCAGCAATTGCGGCTCTGCGTGCGCAGGAGCATCCATTGCGGAAGCCTGCGCGCAAAGGGAAGAAGCGCACTCCTTTCAACCTCGTGCGTACGAGACGCAGCTCTGCACGTGCCGATCGGTAGAGAAGAGCCGCCATGTTGGTAATAGCTCAGGAGCTGTCACTCTGGCCCCAGCAGAGAATAATGGATGAGCTGCGACGTTGGATCATAGCAAAAGCCTGGCGGCCGCTTCCGCCGACCCCTACGCTGTAGTATCGCTTAGTGTTGCTTTCTGTTTTTGTTGTTTTTCTGTTTTTTGTCTGGTTTTGAACTGAGTTACCATAACCTGTAAGAACAACTGATCAGACAACGCGCCGTATGGGAGTTCATGTCTCAATCATATATATATATGTATATATGCATGGCTGTATACAGTATAGTACGTATAATGTATAGGTTTCGTACATGAATGCAATTATTCAAGTCCATGTGTATACAGACATTGGACATACAACTGCGCTTACGTAGTGCGCTCCATGTATGAATGTCGTGCCGAACGCATGTGCTCAGCTGCAGTCATTGGATGCGTGCGACTAGGGCGAGTGATGATACTGTTATGTTGGATTCGCCCGTATTGAACGTGTTTTCATGTGTGTATGTAATTAAGCATGTACGCATGTGCATATGCCTACGCACACATACGTATACATGTGTTTATATATACATATAGTATGCCCCAGTGAGTTCATATCTAGATAGGTACACGTATAAGTGTACACACATATACATATACTGATGCTGTATGTGTATGTATCTATGTATGTAGATATACATATCAGACGTAACAATAAAGATCGAAGCCCATGCGTATACATACAATGCACATAAAACTGCGATTGCGTCGTGTGTTCCGCTGATGCATGTTAAGCCAAACGCATATATGCATCAAACATGGCGTCGTAGAGGCCTCGGGAAGTCCAAACGGCCGTTCGGGGCGAGGTCCTCTGGCTCTGGTGGCGGAGTTTTGAACGGCCTCTTCGGGGGTCCGACTGTGATATATGAAAACCGATGGGTTTTCCCGTGGGGCCGTCCAGAACCATGCAGAAACCTTAGGTTCCCGATTATTTGTACATAATCGGGGCGGTCTGGGGGCGTCGAAAACCTTTCGAGAATCGTCGGGCACCCCCACTGGGGCCTTCGGTGGAGCTCCCTATGGGGCTACGAAACGCCGCCCTGGGTGGGGGAACCGCATGCGGGCACCCCCACTGGGGCCTACGGTGGAGCTCTCTATGGGGCGACGAAACGCTGCCCTGGGTGGGGGAACCGCATGCGGGAACCCCCACTGGGGCCTTCGGTGGGGCTCCCTATGGGGCTACGAAACGTGTGAGAGGTGTGCCGAGAGCAATGGCACGGACGGGGAGGGGGAGGACTACGGTGGAGCTCCCTATGGGGCCACGAAACGCTGCCCTGGGTGGGGGAGCCGTATGCGGGCACCCCCACCGGGGCCTTCGGAGGAGCTCCCTATGGGGCTACGAAACGCTGCCCTGGGTGGGGGAACCGCATGCGGGCACCCCCACTGGGGCCTACGGTGGAGCTCTCTATGGGGCCACGAAACGCTGCCCTGGGTAGGGGAACCGGCAGCAGAAAATGCCTAACAACTAATGTGTTTGGCGCGATTGTGGGCGGCCCCACGGTACATCATAATGGGTTTATGCACATTTGTCATTGCTTGAACTACTGAACGACCGCACCGCGGCCGTGACGACAACGGGCCTCACGCCCCCAACCCGCGCCCGACATCTCCAGGACAGCGACGACGACACTCGAGGTGCTCTCAGGACGCCCAGACCCTTTATCGATCAAAACGCGCAATGGAACATTTTAATCAAAATGTGTTTCGTTAAGTTGGTTCTGGGGCCCCAGGGGTCCCGCCCCTCGCGGTGCGCGTTCTGGCGGGGCCCGCGGGAACGCCTCCTGTCACCACCCTCCTGCCCCCCCCCGGGGGTCGTCGTCGTTGTGTGCACGCGGCCACGACGGCCACGACGGCGACGACGATGACGATAACGACGACGATGGCATCGACGACGACGATGACGACGATGACATCGAACGCCCTCGCCATTATCCCGTCCCCCTCCCCAGGAGGTCCCAGGATGCCCCAGAATGCGCCAGGATGCCCCGGGAGGTCCCACGAAACCACAGGAGGTCTGAGGAGGCCCCAGAAGATCGCCAGGAAACCCCAATAGGGCTTCGGGAAGCCCCAGGAGGCCCCAGGAGTTTCCACGAAACCACAAAAGTTCTTAGGATGCCACAGAGCGGTCCCAGGAAACCCCATGAGCCCCCCCGGGAGGTCCCAGGAGGTCTCAGGAGCCCCCAAGATGATATCCCGTCCTGGTCGATCGGACGGGAGGAGGGGGGTCTGGCTCCGGACCTCTGCTTGATGCCACTGTTTGCAACAGTGCGTCGCATGCGGGGGAGACCCCACCTGCTCGAAGCAGGCGCCAAAAACTGCCAATATCTACCCCATAGGGGGGAAGGGGGGGTGCGAGGGCCCGTGCCGATCTGCCAAACAGTGCATAAGAAAACGATCACCAGGGGACTGCTAGAGATGGCTGGGACCAGCCTGGGCATCTGGTGAGAGCGGCAGGCTACTGCAGTGCTCACGAGTACATTGCCGACGCTCGCAGACGTGCTTCTTGCGCGCTGCTTGTGCGGTTCTCCCATCATCAGGCAGCTGGCAGGGGGTCAACCGCAACAGTTGCCCTTCAGAATCTGCATCTCAACAGCAGAACATGTGGGCTGCTGGCGCGCGAGTTGGCAGGAAGGACGCGAGTCCCGAGGGCAGAGGGCCCTGGGCCCGTGGGCCTCTCCCCGGGACCACCTGCTCCATCCTGAGCCGGTTTCTGACAGCCGAAGGGCCCGGGCTCCGCAGCCTTTTCAGGGTTCGGCCTCAGTCCGCCAGAGGACGATGACGTTACTGAACTTCGCCTGGCGTTCGAGAAAAGTTCTAGTCAGAAGCACGGAAATGCCGAGAAAAAACCTCCGGACACGCTTCCCTCGCGACCCTTTGGCCTCGCGGCGAGCGGGCGGCCGGCGGCGCAACCGGCACGGCCGGCGCCGCCCGGCCCCATCCCCGACCGCGCGCTACAGCGAGCCCCAGAGCTCCTCCAGGAAGGCGCTGGCGTGCTGCGCCTCCATGCGGCTGAGCCTCCACTGGGCCAAACCCCGTGCTGGGAGCACCGTGTAGCAACCCTCTGGAGGCCCTTCTGAGGGCGATGTCGAATGGCGTCTGGATTTCTGGAACACTCTCGAACCATCTCGGGGCACTTGAGGTCGTTTGGAGGACTCTCGTGGGTCGTTTTGTAGCCCTCGGGTAGCCGTGTTGGGCCGCATTGGGGATATGCTAGCCTGTATGGGGCACCTCCACGCGCCCTTTTGAACTGTCTGTGGGCCATACTGGTACCTCTTTGAGACGCTCTTGGGCCGTCTTCAAGAGCTGTGAAGGCATATTGGGGTCGTGCTCGGCGGAAAAACACAGAAACCGAAACTACACGGAAAACTCGAAGGGCTTCGATTACCTTCCATGCCGATCCCATGTCGCGATGCCTCTCAAAGCCTCTGTCGGAGCCTCTTGTGCGCCTCCTGGGCCCTCTGGAGCACGCTAGAGGCCTCTGGAGACGTCCTTTGGCGGCCGCCTGGAGCCCTTTCGAATCGTTTTGGCTGCATCTTGACGCCGGATTGGGCCGTACTGGAAGCCTCTTGAGCCCGAAGAAAACCCGCCATAAATGCCACAATAATACGCCCAGTCGGCGCCGGGATGATTTGTTATAGAAATTAAATCGGCTACATGGTATTTTTCTGCTCAACGAACACACACACACCCGCAAGCAGCAGTCCTAGAAGAACCGCTGATCTCGTTGGCTATTTAAGCAATGCAACTCAACTGTGAGCATGCAAACTGGGCTCGAGACTAGAAAGGAAGGAATATTGTGATGCGAGCGCGGCCAGGCATCAGTTACCTGAGCCGCCCTAGATGAAAGCCTTCTTCAGGGCGATTGCAGTCATCATCATGACAAGCGTCTCGCCATAGTCGGAACCACCACCATGGAGCTTGAGCTCATTCTTCCCACCTTCGGATTGGATCTTGCGTTTGTTCAGAAATGTACCAAACAAGTCAAGCGACGGCGCCGCAAACTGCTTCCGCTCCCTTCCATGTTTGTCCGTTGTGCCATAGTGGCTCACGCTGCACTGGTACGACTCGTTTGCAGCCCAGCTCGGCTCATCTTTGAGTCCATGCGGCGTGCAGAAGATGTGACGGAAAGGCTCCTGTATCCCAGCCTTCCGCGAGGCTTCAGTGCACCACATCCCTAGGCAATCCGGATATTCCCTTGCAGCAGCCTTTGTAGACTGCCTACCCCTTGGCTCCTGTGGCGAAGTGTGGCGTGTACATTCTGGGTGTGTAGAACGCATAGTTCTTGACGGCGGTAACACCAAAAACTTCTGGTGGAAGTGCGTTCCATAGCCGAGGCTGTTCACTTTTGTTTCCCAGGAGCGAGCGGAAAATGATCCATCAAACTTCGCAAACGTCTTCACATCAAAACCGTGTGCCTCTGCATCTCAGCTGTTCTGATCGCCGAGGTATTCAATCGTCATGAGCCTCTTCACAATACGGCCCTACGGAAGGTAGCAAGAAGCATCAGAGTCTGACAACTTGTACCTGTCCTCGACCCCGTATTCGTCCACGCCCAAGCGTCTCATCTCCCCAGCCTTGTGCTGCTCCTTTACTGTCTGCTGCTACCTGAGCCGATCCCTCGCAATGAGGCCACCTCCCCCGAAAACAGCAGGGATCGGCCGAGGCTGGGGCGAATCGACTGGATGCAGTTTCTGCCTGGGGGCACCGACAGGCCCCTGCGCGTTCAGCTGTTGCACCTGAAAGGCAGGTCACGCATGCGAGCAGGACGGATACGCCTAGCTACGCCATCCGTCCAGAATGCGCGAAGGTGTAGTGAGCAGACAAATGCTGCGACTTATCGGAAGGAAACGATGACAGCCTCGTTTGAGCACGATTACCCGCGGATGTGTTATCTACCCCAAGCCAGTAAACAATGTCCCTGGTGTTATTGATAGCAACAACGCCTAAACACATAACTTAAACATTTGTCCCAATACTCTCCAAATCGAAGCGGTGCGTTAGGCAAGCTTAAGAAACTGGCACTGGGTCAACTCTCTCTGACTCTGCACTTTCTACGGACGTTCTGCTCATCCTAGCCTGGGCAGGTTGCTAGGACATCTGGCCGTTCGGGCTGCTGCTATTGATTGAAGCTACTTGAGCTACCACATCGGGCAAGCTAGTGGGAAGAAGCAAAGCTATGGAGGGAGGGGGAAGAAGGAAAAGGGAAGAGGCGCCAGACTCAGACTGCACAACCATCTGGACAATCTGGACAACCTCCAATTCTACGGGCACTCCCGACAACCCCGTCCGGACAAACCATTCCAGACATCCCACCCCCCCAAATTCTGTGCCACGCAAAACTGTGACCACCTATCAATACCCGAAGTGCTTGTTATGAATATCGCCACCACTGATGAAACTTTCTAATTGTTCACCGCAGTCCTCGCCGAATCAAAACCTTACCATAGGGAGAAGGTGCAAACTCAAATCTTTCCAATGTTTCATAAGACACAACAGTCGAGCAATAATTCGTCAGCAACTGTGCGCCATGGCACTCAATATAATTAAGCGTCCTCACGTCTGACGACCGCGATCCATCGCAAAGGACTTAGATCCACGCAACAAGGGCCACGATCAAGTTCAAAACAGGATGGTGCACACTCGTGCACAACCAGTGAACGGAGAAATTGGTGCGTTTGACTTTGTGATTTCCCTGGACACAGCTGCCGACCCCCCTTCAGGGCAACGAGGCTGCGCGGCCCATGTTCTCTCAGCAGCAGTTTGGTAGCATCCCTGGCAAGATACGAAGCTTCAGCAATTCAGACATTGGCTTCTCAAATTCTCTCTTCCTGCAAACGCGCGCAATGCCCCACCGGACAGATGGCGCGCGCTACCCTCACCAGACTGGATGTTCTCAGCCTCTGGGCACGCCGGACAAGTAAAAGACAACGGATGCGCGCTTCCAGGGCCACAACCCCGCTTAAGATACATTGATATGCGCTCCCAGGGCACGGCCCACTGTACGACCTACTTCGGGCACGACGGAAAGTCATGCTGCTTTAGCCGCGTGCTGCTGCTGGCCGTTGTCTTTCTCGCGATTAGGACGCCGGTCCCCAATGTCACCGTATCTCGGGCAACGTAGAAACGTGCGCTGCTAGCCACAACTCTCCTCTGAAATGTTGTTGCGCTTGCTTCCTTTTAGCCTCTCGCACGGCACCAGGAACTCTGCCAAGGCGGCCGCCAGATCGGTCGGCCCCACCCTCATTTGCCGTCGCCCTAGGCGCCCTTGCCGCCGCCCTTGCCGAACGCAGGGCGCACGTAGATGCGGCCCTCTGGGCTGGCGCGCAACACCTTGTTGCGGACCCTGACGACGCGGCCGTGAATGGCGCAGGACACGCAGTACAGCATCTTCATGTAGAGTTTCGGGAGCATGAACGTCTGGTACACGCTCGCGTCGCGGATGTCGCGCTGGGACGACGCGTCAACCATGTTGCGGACCTGGAACCGCTTGATGGCCTTGTCCTTCGGCACGCAGCGGCCGCAGTTGCAGCAGCGGACGATGGCAGAGTGGCCGTGGCCGTGCTTGGAGCGGCCGTTGTTGCGGCGCTTGGACGGCATGCCTGGGCTGTCTTCTTCTGCCTTTTCTGCGCCTCTGTCTGTCTAGGATCAGTCTCGCAGTGGCGGCCCGGGTGGGAAGGCTTGGATATACCTGGAGCCAAAATGGCAACGGAGAAGTGTTTCGTTGCAGCTAATGAGCATGCCCACTACGTCATCAACCAACTGCTAGTTGCCAACCTCTCTCCGCTGTATTGCGCGGCCGTCTTGGCGACTTCAGGAGGCCTTTCTGATGGGTCAGTTTTCCACCACCGCTACCATACGTAGGATGGGGGGGAAGGGAGGATGGGGAGGTCCTCCTCCTCCTCCTCCTCCTCCTCCTCCTCCTCCTCCTCCTCCTCCTCCTCCTCCTCCTCCCCCTCCCGTCGGCGCTCGGCTGGGGGAGCGTGCCGCTGCAGGTGACGGTGCAGCGTGGGCGGGGCCGCTGAGGACTGGAGGGGCGGCGCGTTGGCCCGGGCGGGGCAGGGAGCAGCTCTGGGAGCACCCGTTGACCCCGCCCCCAAGCCAGGGGGCAACCACGCGACCGCTCCATGGAGGTGGGCCAGCAAGGTACTGATGCAGCGCTGCGGCGGCTGCTGGCAGGCGGCGCTGGAGGAGGCGGCAAGGCTGGCAGCGGCAGGGTGCTGGACCCTGTCGAATGGCCCCCACTCGGAGGGGCACGGTCAGTCCAGCATCCGCTGGGGGAGGGGCGGCAGGATTCAGCCCTGCAAAGTCGCAACCCCCTCCCCGCGCCGCTGCCAGCCTCAACGACGAGAAGGGCGGCCACTGCGTCCTCGAGCTCGACGCGGTCTGCGGAGGCTCGCGGCGCAAGAAGTCCAGGGCGGCCCTCTTCGTCGATTGCCACGAGCGGTTCGGGGAGGCCGCCGCCGTCGATTGAGCCGTCGGGGTCGAGGAGGCCCAGAGCTTCAGTGACGCCCTCGTCTCCGTCGACGCCGAGGGTGCAGGGGCACGGCGTCTCGTTCGAGGAGGCCGCCAAGGCAGGCGACCACATCGCAGTCGTGGAGGCAGAGGCCGCACACGCGTGCGTGATCAGGGTCGAGGGTCCGCCGCCATGCTCAGGGCCAGTCGATGAGTTCAAAGCCACGAACTTGGGCTGCCTGTGCATCAACGCCAACGCCTGGAGCACGGCCGAGACTGTCTTGGCATGGCGCATGGACGAAGCGCCCACTGGAGGCGGACTGGCGAGCAGGCCCGATGTGATCATGATCCAGGAGACTCACATCAAGACAGCCTCCAAGGCGTCCACGGCATCAGCTTGGGGAAGGGGGGGCAAGGAATGGCTGGCAGCTGTCTCATGGGCTGGCGAAAAGCACTGGCAGCAGTAGTGTTGAGAGCTCAGGTGGCGTTGCCATCGGAGTCCAGTGCAACTTAGCTTCCAAGCCGTTCGCTGAAAAGTAGATCGACCTGCCAGCCAACAGGGTAAGCATGCGCGTGGTCAACGTTGGGCTCCCGCAGGGCCTCCTAGTTGTCACGGTGTACAGCACCACTGGGTGTGGGCTGTCGGGGGAGGAGGCGGCGCTCTTGGAGACCCTGGGAGAGCTCCTGCTCAGCCAGCAACTGCCTTGGATTGTCCAGGGCGGTTTCAATTTCCAGCCGTCCGCATTGATGGCGTCGGGGTGGTTGCAGATCGTCAGGGGTGAGATCGTGGCTGCCAGGGAGCCCGCATGCACTGGGGCCCGAGGAGATCCCGACGGCGTGATGAAGGCTCAGTGGGGGCTGAGGTTTTGGACCCTACTGGCATTTCTGGATCAGGGCGAGGCTTGGACTACTTCCTCCTGGCAGAATGTCTGGCGCCTCGGGTCAAGGGCCTCAAAGTGTTCTCGGAGGTCCCGCTTGGACCGCGCAGTTCTGTCTACATGGAGCTAGAAGGTCTCTCCCACCTCGCCGCGGTCCCTCGCCAGGTTAAGTTGCGCCCGTTCGAGCATGGTTTTATTGGCCCGCATCCCGAGCCCAAGAGGGTTGCGTGGCAGTGGACTGAAAAACATGTCGGGAGCCGGTGAAGTCACGCTGGAGCAAATGCGCAAGCAATGGATGGTTTGGGGCTGCCGAGGACCGCCTGGCCCAGATCCACGGGCTGCACGGCAAAGAAGCCCAGGGCTGCGCCGGCAGGGCTCGAGGGCCCAGGACGCCAAACAGTCCCCCTGGGAACGCTCTGGCATAAGGACTAAAGGCGGAGGCTTGCCAAAGCCTCCACAACCTGGACAGCGTTTCAGAGTCTCGTCACCAGGTGTAGACAGTCTGTTTCAGGAGCAGCTGGCCGCCGAGGCCGATGTTTTGCTCGGGTGGAGGGATGAGCTGTCGCGCATGACCGAAGCCCTGGACTCCGGCGACAGCGGCCCCACTAAGACTGACCGAGTGCTCCTCGCCAACGATGTCGTGGATGGGAAGGTCGAGGAGGAGGCGGAGGTTTTGCCCGAGCTGAGTTTTGAAGTGGAGCGGAGGAGAAGACAGGGCGCCAAGCCCAGCTCGGCGGAGCGGGGGCCGCGGGCGGTGGAGTCAACTTAAGGCGGAGGGAAGGCGGCCCACGATTGCTCGAAACGTTCGCTGGCGAGCCCCAACGTCCTTGCTAGACGCGGCAGGGAAGCCGGTTTGCGTGCAGGAAGCGTTCGGCTACCTACTGGAGGTCTGGACGCCGCTATGGAACGTAGCGGGCCAGGGAGCCCAACATCCAGCGACCTGGTCTGTGCCCCGCGAAGAGGCTGCGTTGCCAGCTATACCTCCCGAGATTAGAATGCAGGTATGCAAGAGGTATAGCAGGAAGTTCGGATTGGGGTGGGATGGGTCTCATCCTCGGCGGGTGCTAGAGCTTGGCGATGGGTGCGCTATACGTTTGATCGACATTCTGCACAGGCTTGAAGAGTCTCCACAGGAATTGTTTCTCTTCGTCTTCGTAACGAATGCCGTTCTTACCGACAAGGCCGACGGAGGCGTGCGCCCCATCGGCTTGCTGACCCTTTTTCATACCAAGGTTTGGCCCAGGGCGAGGCAGTCCATGTTCAAGCGTTGGAGCGTGACCACATGGAGGACGTCTTCTGAGGGGTCAACAAAACCGCTACATGTGAGCGTGCAAGGCGGGTCCATATTCTACATGGGAGTTTCTCGAAAGGGGTCGGGTTCGGGTCGGCCTCCGCCCTGTTGACCTTTCCAAGTTTACGAGCACATAGGCCGCGAACACCTGTACGAGGCGGCGCCGAGGTTCAACTTCCCGTGTGTTTTTTCGCTGTCTGTGCACGATATACGCCTGTCCCCGCACGCTTCTACGCGGGGGTGCTGCGTCGCGAGTGGCGCACGCCAGCGGGTCTGTGATTGCAGGTTGTAGCGGAGCGACGCGCCTTGCGAAGCTGCCCCCCTTGGACCCGATGCTGCAGGCAAAGCAGGGGAGATCGCAGTGGATGGTTAGGAACGTCATGGCTGATGTTGCGCTGCAGGTTTGTAGAAGGAAGGAGCAGGTGGCCCAAGTTCTCGGCGAAGGGGCTGAGCCGCTGCTGACGAATTTCGATCGTCGCAGCCTTCCAGCTGCAATGAGCAAGACCAAATATATGTGCAGCCTGGAGGTGTCTAGTCTTCTCAAGGATCGATTGAGGACCCCGTCCTCGTCCAGAGTGGACTCGGCTCGGAATCTCGGCACGGACGCGCCCTCGGGGTCCTGTCGCTGAGTCGGCACGGCCAGGAGTAAGCTCGTCGCTGCCAAATCGAGGGGCCAGCGGTTGCAGATCTTGCAGAACGCGGGTGCCGATGTAGGCCTCGTCCAAAGGGTTGGGACTATTGCGGCAGCGCCCTGGGGAGGCAGTGCCACTGGGCCCCCCCATCGGCCACGCATGGCCCACGCATCTCGGCTGCCCGCATCACAGGGGGGCCCCGAAAGGTTCCAGTCTTGGGCTCAAGCTCCACTCGCGCAGGCTAGGGGCATTGGCGGACCCACTGGCTGCCTATACGGGGCGCGCAATGCATCAGCGGGCCTCTGCCGTGTATGACAGCTTCCCCTCCCCGACGGTGTTAGGTGCGACCATGGGCGCGGCCCTTGATAAACTGGAGCGTTTCCATCACCCGTGGGGGGGGGCCGCCTCGCCGCCAGCGGAGGTAGGTTGCCCCGCCGTGTCCAGGATAGACTGGAGGTTTCTGTCTAGCACGCGCGTGATGGACGATTTCGGGCACGCGTTGAACCTACGCTAGCTCTCGCCGTCGGAACTTAGAGAGCTAGTGCAGGACGGGGCCATCAGGGAGTCGGGCCGTTTTGCCTTGGACACTTCAGGTCGGCGTGGGAGCGGGCCCCCGCGGCCACCATGGCCTGTTTTCCGGCGGGGGCTGCGCCAGCTCCTCCGCAGCAAAAGAAAGCATTGGTCCAGCCACCACCAGCGCGCCCTCAGGGCCCTGCTTTGTGACGTGCATTGGCCGCAAGCTAGGGTACACGGACATGGGCTGCACGCGTCGCCTGTGTGTCGGTTGCGCCAGGCAGGTTGTGGCACGCTTTGGCATAAGCAGCATGAGTGCGTGGCGCACGAAGGCCTCGGGAGGGATGGAGTCTCGCCGTGGCTGAGGGAGCGCGCTGCCAGAGCCCTTGAGCAAGGGGTCGAGGCGGGGGAGCGTTTTGCAAGGAGACCCCGATGAAGCTGTCAAGTGGGTGGACAGACCTGCGTGCGGTTTCCTTACGGGATGTATCTTCAGCGACGGCTCGCCCATGTGGCCGTCGATCGAAGGAGTCAGTCGGGCGGGCTGGACGCTAGTGCAAGTGGACAAGCTTGGCAATGCGTTGCACGCAGCGCATGGCCCTGTGCCCCTGTCCTTCGGCCCCCGCCAGACAGCCAAGGATGGCGCAGATTTAGCGATCCACATGCTGGCGCATGTAGGGAGGGTGCCATTCCAATTTCATCTAGATTGTCAATCGACGTTCAATGTTCTCTGCGGGGGCCCAGGCACGGGGACCGAGGCCTGGGCCCCAAGAGGACACATGTGGGCGCCTTTTCGGGCTGCTTTTTCTCATGAGGATTTTGAAACGTTCAAAACTTTGGCCCACGCGGGCAATGCCAACGTGGAGTCTGGTAAGACGACCTGGTGGGAGCTTCGGGCCAACCAGGCCGCGGGCCCCCATGCTAAAGCAGGAGCATGTGTGCATGGAGTCACGGAAGAGCACGCCAGCTTGACCAGAGGGTGCAAGGCCCTTTGTCAAGGACAGGGGAGGTGGGCGGGCAGACTTGAGGTCTGGCTCGCCCAGCAGGGCGGCAGGGGCGACACGGTAGGTGTGGCCGCCGAGGAGCACGGTCCCTCGGAGCTGCCGCCCCCCCCCCCCCCCCCCCCCCGAGAGCGATGGAGAGGGTGGGCCGTCGTCTGATGTCGTCGTGGAGGTGGGCGGGTTGGACTGCGACGGTGACCTGTGGGCCGACGAGGCCCTGAATGCCTGTTACTTCCGCGGGCATGGCTTGCTCAAATGCCACGTCGAGGGGCCGTCCGCGGATTCGGGCAAGATGTCGTTTTGTTTTAGGTGCGGGGCTACACCTCGCTGTCGCGGTGTGAGCGGAAGCCAGCGGACCATAAGGTCAGGTCCCTGCTGAGGCGCAGCAAGCGGGGGAAGCCCCCCCACTATCGGCGCGCCTCACAGGCCCTCGTGCTCAGCCAGCCAGTGTCTCTGGGAGCTGATGAGAGGGCTGAGCTCGAGAGCTCGCTGCAGCTGCCCTCCGCAGACTCGGGCCCCGCCTCGGGCGGGGCTGCCGCGGGAGGGTCCTTCGTCCTGCCCTCGCAGGCATCGGTCCTGTCGGCCTTTGGGCTGCGCGCCGCCGACTTGGGACGAGCCCAGGAACTCGGCCAGTCGGGCGGCGGCGGGGGCCCCGACCATGTCTCGGAGGCCTCCGACGAGGACTTCTTCTAACTTGTCATCATGGCCAGCCACCAGCACCTCCTCCCCCTCCTACCTGTAGTAGCGGTGGTGGAAAATCGGCCCATCACTTTCGGTGGTCCCCTGTGGGCCGCTTGGGCCCCGTTGAGCCGTGCGGGGCCGCTTTGGCGTCTGCGCGGCACTCTTACGAGGCGGCCTGGACTCCGCCGATCCGCTCGGGTTGCCTTGGGGTTCGCTCGGGGCCCCCTCTGGGCAGTTTTGAGTGACGATTGTAACACTCTTGGGCAGCACTGGAGCCTTGAAGCCTTCCTGCAACCATGTGGATCTGAAACCCCGAAGGAACTAGATTAGCTTGGCAATATGCATCTGCGTGTTGTCCACGGCGCGGCACTATCCTCATATACTGCGCGTCGCGGCAGGGGTGGAGATCGGGGCAGTGCGGATAGGGGACTGCGGTGCAGCGGTGGCGGATTCCGCCACCGTCACGCGAGTCCGATGGACCTCGGCGAACCTAGAAGCGCTTGAGATGCAAATCTCTGGGGTCGTCCCAGGACTTCTGGGCGGTAGACGGTGCTAGCAATGTCTGGAAACTCAAGGGCGTCACCATGATAGGAGCGGTCCGTGAGGCCAGGGCCGCTGGGGGCACTGCGTTTCAGCAACAGACACCGGACATGCTGCACCAGCTGCAGGGAATAGCGGTCACAACTCGAGAAAGAACTACATGCACTGCTGATCGGTGGCGGTCCACTCCTCCTGGCACCGCATCCACAACAAGACCAATGCGTGTGCAAAAAGCAACGTCCCCAAGACTGGAGGATCGACTGCGGCCAACGCATCCACTAATAGTATGGCTGCATGGGCTCCCTGAAAAACCTGATGGGACAAGATCGGGAAGCGCCGATGTCGTCCAGTGGGCTTGCAGGGGGAGAAAAAAGGATGATGGCGACGACAAGACAGCGGATGACGAGGATGACAGCGTGGATGACAGGGATGGCAGCGAAGGGAGCAGGACGACAACGAGTGCAGTGGAGGCTAGTCCACAAGAAACCTTCCACAAGAAACCCAACCCTGAGACCCCAGGACGTCCATTGTGTCTTGGTGTGCGAACGTTACGCTTCCCATATCAAAACAATCGAAACCCAAGAAACCCAGGGCACCCTGGAGGCAAGCAGGGTGTTTCTTGGCATGAGTCTCCACTGTACGAAGACAAGCACGAGGATGAGGAAGAGATGGAGAAGGACGAATACGAGGAACGAAACGGTGGAGAAGGAGGATGAGGAGGAGGAAAATGACGACGACGACGACGACGGAGAAGGACACCAGGACCCCCAGGACCCAGTAAGGTTCAGCAAAACACCACAAAACCATCCCAGGAACCCCCAGCGCACCCCAGGTCCTCCTACGACCCCCATGAACCGAGCGGGACCCCGCAAAACCCCCCCAGGACCCCTGAGAACCCCTCTGCGCCCCCCAGAACTACACAAGAGCCCTCAGGAACTTCGTTTGGAACCCCCCATGACGCCGAGTAAACCTCTGAGGGCCCCAAGGAACCCCCAGAAGGCCCCAACAGGCGCCCAAGAGGCCCCAAGAGGTCCCCAAGAGGCGCCCAAGAAGCTCCAAGAGGCCCAAAGGAGGTCCCAAGAGGGCCCGAAACCGCCTCGATGAGGTATCAAAACTGCCTCCAAGAGACCCCGAGAGGCCTGGCACGAGATCCCAACGAACATCCAATAGGCTTTATACCCACAACCCAAGCATGGTGTCGGGATGGGCCGAAGGCCATTGAGTACAGAAGAACATGAAAGCCACATCCGATGAGCAGAAACCAAAACGAAAGCATGAGATGCACGAAAGCTGCATCGGCTTCGGGAATACTGGAGGGAGCAGGAGAAGAGACAGCAGCAGCGGATGATGTTCGGTGCCCGCCCATGCTGTCCTTTGTCGCCCTCTGGCGCAGGCATGCCTGGGACAGGGAGGGAAACGTAAGACGAAGCCAGGACGAGGACAAAATCGGGTGAGGAGAAATCAAGAATCTCTGAGATCTGGCGGCTCTAGAGGATGTATCGGGCATCGCGGCCTTCTCAGCGCGTTCCTGAACGATCTGAGAGCGTACTTGAACGCTCTAGATAGGATTTATCCTTGTCCTGGCCCCTCCCAAATCATGCAAGGACAGGGAAACGTATGAGACCGGAGAAACACCCCGATCAAAGTCTTTGTAGGGCTATAGGGCTATGGGGCTATTGAGCTATATGGCGATGGGGTTATAAAGCTATAGGGCTATGGGGCTATAGGGTTATAGGGCCATTGGGCTAAAGGTCTATGGGGTTATAAGGCTATACGGCTATAGGGCTGCAGGGCTATAGAGCTATGGGGCTCTGGGGCTCTGGGGCTATAGAGCTATAGGGCCATAGGGCTATGAGTCTACAGGGCTATGGGGCTATAGGGCTGTAGGACCATAGGGCTACGGGGCTATGGGGATATAGAGCTATGGGGATATAGGGCTATAGTGCTATAGGCATATAGACCTATAGGGCTATAGGGCTACAGGGTTATAGGGCTATCAGGCTGTAGGGCTATCGAGATATAGGCCTATAAGGCTATAGGGCTAAAGGACTATTGGGCTATAGGGTTATAGGGTTAGCGGGCGCTATGCGGCTATAGGGCTATAGGGCTATAGAGCTATAGAGCTATAGGGCTGTATGGCTATAGGGCTAAAGGGCTATAGGGCTATAGGGCTATTGGGCTGTAGGGCTATAGGCCTCTAGGGCGGTAGGGCTATAGGACTATAAGGCTATAAGGCTATAGGGCTATTGGGCTATAGGGTCATAGAGCTATAGGGCTGTTGGGCTATGGGGCTATAAGGCTATCAGGCGATAGGGCTATAGGGCTACAGGGTTATGGGGCTACAGGGCTGTAGGGCTATGAGGCACCCGGGCACCCGGGCGGGCCGCGGAAATCGGTGACAAACCTCACCTAAGCACATGAATCCGCTAGGACCCCTACGGAGGCAAGCTCTGATAGGGGAAGATCGTGACCCCTCGCTCCGCTTCTGCCGTCCCCAATTCGAGCTGCTTGGCTCTCCCTCCGGATTGTCCGTCGTGTGCTGCTGCTGCTGCTGCTCCTCTGCACCGAGTCCCTGCCATCTCACTCGCCACTCCCGGGCATTCCCACGCATGGAAAAAGACAAGAGTCCCAAAAACGTACCCGCGGTGCTGGCTGAGAGGCGGGGAATGACTACCTACCAGACCACCCCAACCTAACTCGAAGACCCAAATTTCGGGTTGGGCGGGTACGGGTTCCACTTGTTTTTTCAATGTTCCCCGACCCCCCCCAACTGGAAATCGAAGGTACATCTGGGCCTTCGGGTTGGGTTGGGGTGGTTCGGTGGGTGGTGAGGGAAGGGAAGGGGAGGAGGGTAGAAGAGAGGGAGGAGGAAAGAAGAAAGGGGGGGAAAAAGAGGGGGACGAAGAGGAGGGAGGAGGGAGGGAGGGAGGAGGGATAAAGGGAGGAGGAAGAGGAGGAGGAGGAGGAGGAGGAGGAGGAAGGAGTGGGGAGGATAGACACGTTGTGGATTCAGGCTACATGATTAAACGATGTTATATGGGGTCAGCGCCCTAGTCATCGACACCAACGCGCAAGAGGCGGCGAAAGTGCGCGAGCTAGCTCGAGATGTCCTTGGGTCCTCACCACGGACAGACTGCCCAGAACAGAAAGGCGCACCTGGAGCGCACAACGACACTGTGCTTCAGCTACGGGCAAGAGATATATCCACATCCACGGCGTCACGGCTCATTGGATTTTCTGGGAAGGGATCCCAAGAACCCGAGACGCGGTGGAAATGGGGAAGAATCTGGCCTCGCTAGAGGCAATATTCTCATCCACGTCCACTGCGCCTCGGGATCCTAAGGAAGGGAGTCCAGAAATCCGAGGCGCGGTGGATATGCATATGAGTCCGTAGGCGGCGAGCAATGGGGGGAAGTGAGAAGGCGAAGGCCTTCTCAGAAGGCGGCGGGACTTCTCAGAAGCCCTCGCGCCTTCTGAAAAGTTCTCTGTCTTCGAGGAAGCCTTAAAACATGTCCCGCAGCAGGCCAGGTGATTTCCGAGCTTTCTGAGCAGGCCCGCCCCTTCTCACTTTCCCCCCTCGCTCGCCGCCGGATGAAAGAACAACGCGCATTCAAACGTCTGGGGAAAAGGAGCCGGGGAAGGGCTAGGTGATGAAGGCGCTGCAAGTGTGGGCGCGGCCCCTGGGGGGGTTCCCGTTCCAGCCAGGACCCCCATGCGACAACACACGCCCATAGCCGAGAAATTTGGGAGCCGCAAAAGTATGGGCGCTGGTTGGTTAGCTCATGAAGAAGAGGGGGGGTGAGAGCAGCGAAGAAGCGAAGTGGAGGGGGTGAGGTGCAGCACTGGGCGAAAGAAGGGCTCTTGCCGCCAGGGTTGGTCCAGGGACTGGCCCCCCACGGGAGTCGAGGAGAGTGGGCGACGGAAATCTTCGCTCATCAAGGAAGCGCAGAAAGGAGAAAGGAGGTACCCATTCTGACAGAGACAGCGCTTCAAACCGCCCACAGTGGTTCGCGCGGGATCAGGCTCCAAACGGAAAGAGAGAGAGAGAGAGAAAACAAAAAAAGAGAGGGAGAGAAAGAAAGCGCCGCATACCACACGCAAAGGCATTTGCATCGATGCTACTCTAAGTCGCTCGGGGCCTGCTTCGAGCGGCGAATACTCCGACGGTAGGGCCCCACATGAGAATCCGATCGGCGCATCCGGTAATAGCACCCCTAGTCGTCCTCGTGATTGTTGTTAAGGTGTCATCAATGTCTCCTCTGCGCCATTCTCCTTCTCGCCCTAGCGCAGGCTCCCCTCCCGCTCCCTACGCTGACCCCCCTCACCCTCCTGACTTGTTTGTTCTTGAAGGGGCCCCGGGACGCACACATAAATAGACACAACTAACA